CTTAACTGCTTTATTATCGATGCTTCTTTAACCCTTTGTCCTCTACCTTCACAGTGAAACAAAATTGCTTTTAGGATATCTATTCATGATCTTCTTTCCGATAAATCCAAAAGCCTTTTTTAGCCCTCATTTTCCTTGGGTTTGCACACTAGTTTACTACTGTAGGACCATTCTCTGGGAAAGCTCAGCTTCTATGTCTCTGGAGTTTCCAGTTATTTCTCTCTATTCATTCAAAAAATATTAGTAAGTTCCTACTTTGTAACAAGCACTTCTTTCTCTTTCCATTTTCTATCTGTAGCTACCTACAGCTCCAAGGCCCCTGAAATCTAGTTCTTCAAACCTTTTTCACAGTTTGATTATCTTTTGAGGTACCACCTTTCTTTCCAATCTCAGTCACAAAATGTAATATTATGACTGCAATATCCATATTAAGTTAAAATGTTTTATTACATTGTTATTAAATCAGTGAGAAAGAAAACTATAATGTGTCTAGAGAAGAATATGTTTATAAGCATTTAAGCAGAATATGTGGAAATTTACTGGCAGATAAATCGGGATAACAAAAGTGTATCAAAAATCAACTGAAAATGATCTCATCAAGGACATTCTCAAGTATATATAATAGAAAAAGGCAAAGGAGTTAAAATTTGGAATAAAAAAAGAACTGACAAATAAAATATATTAAATATAAATCTTCTGGAAGTTAAGGCTAAAGGGATGAGAGACACTTTGAAAACAAAGCAACTGTATATAACAAAGCTGCCTTTAACCCTGACTCCGGTCTATGAAACCAAGGCATCCACAACCTACCTTAACTATAAAAGGGACAAAGATGGATACATAAGATAAAATAATTAAGGGTACTATATTTTGCAACAAATAAATCACTGAAAATTTGAAGTTCTTTAACTACCAGTGACTCATCCTATGCTCTCTTCCTACAAAAGCATTAACAACATGCTACAATCCCAAATTTCCAACTACCACTAGAATTCTTGTATTTAAGACTTCCTTGAATTTCAAACTATGGCTCTCTAGTTCTATAATGAAAGATGAACTCATCTTTCCCCAATTCAAATTAGTTTTCTTTCACATAAAGCTATTTTTGTTGATTTTGTGACCTCACAATCTTGGAATCATCTTTAATCTTTTCTTCTATTCTGCCTCTCAAAATGATAACCTAAGATAAAGAATTCAATAAAAACTTCTGATGAAAACGATAAAATTAGCCACAAAGTCAGAAAAAAATCACTTTATGGGTTACTGAACATCTCTATTAAGAAAAGCACATATTCATACTCTCTGCTATAAATGTTCAGGTTCATGCATTACGCTTTTTAAAAATTCAATTAAACCTCATACCTTGCCAGAAAAGATTTTCCTGATCCCGGAAGCCCTCTGAGAAGAATAAGAACTAGTCCAACATAAGACGATGTCTTCTTTCTTACAACCTGAGAAACTGGAGTTTCTTGTATTTGATAAGCACTTTTTCCCTCTTTACTTCTCCATACCTTTGTTGGGGAAGTGTGAGAAATAACTGGGGGTGGAAACGTATAGTTGACAGGTCTCCAGTGTGCAGCTGTGGTTACAACAGGAGCTACAAAGCCATGGTTTCCTTGAAAGAGGTCAAAAGCAGGAATCATTGGATTCCACATTGGTGGAGGAGGAGGAGGCAGCAGTAGAGGGAGAGGGGTAAGCACTGGGCAGTAATTCACATCCTTCTCCTTTGGTGGCAGTTCACTATGATTGTGTGCCTTGAAATTGAATTCTTCAGAAGGTACAAACACATCAGGGATAGAGGTAGATTTCTGATCCCCACCTATACCCAGTAAACCAAGCCCTGGATTTTGCACATTTAAAGGAGCCTGAGGTTCATTGGCATCCAAATCTACAGGGGTTTCAGAGAACTGAGCCTCAACACACTCAGATTCTAAAAGCTCTTTCTCTCTTTGATTGAGATTGTTACAATCTACCATAGTGTCATTTACTGCACTTAAAGAATTACTGAGAAGAGAATCTTCCAATGTGTTATATTTTATAACACTTTTGGACTCGTTCGAAGCTGAATGTGAAGTTAAGGGGTTTGAACTTAAAAGAGAGGCAGAATTCTCTAAATTTTCACTGTTCAAATCCATATTTTGTGTACACAGAACAGGAGTCATACTACTTGAATCTGAATTTATAAATGCACTCAGGTCACCCAAACTATTAACATTTTGCAAAGGCAAACATGAGTATACTTGGTCATCAGGAGAAGAGTTCAATTTCTCAAAAGCATTCTGTATTAAGGAATCCAAGTCCTCAGTTAGTTGCACGTCCAAAAATGAATCCATTTTGGAATCTTCACTCTCTTCTTCGGGAGGACACTTGTCCATTATTTCATGTCTTGCTGCACTTACTTGGTTCTCAGAAGCAATGGAGCTTTTTGAAGATGATTGTTCTATCTTGGTATCTGTGGCAGATAATTCTAATAGACAATCCATGGCATTTTCAACTGTACAACAACAGGAACAACAATAACAATAAAATATATATACATGAATTGAAAATAGTAAAACATAATTTGATTAAAATATACATATAATTATATTGGATTTTTCCAATGAATGGAACATAGAGAAATTTTAAAATATTCAGATTTTTAAATTAACATTTTACTAATATATCAGTCTGTATTAGTGAAAAGATATGAAAGACAGAGACATGAAATGCTGTTACTTACAAACAGTAACAAACTAAGCTAATAAACTGTCATGAAATAGACATTTTCTGAGGAATTTACTGAGTAAATGTAAAATTATCTGTAATTTTATCTACCAGGGCTATTTCTAAAGATCCTAAAACCACTTAGCCACTGCACGTCCTTTTAAATATAAAGTATTTGAAGTACTCTTCTATTAAACCTAATTTGTTTATGTGGTCCATGCTATGAATTTCACTTAATTAAAAAAAATGTATGAGCAGGAACTACATATCAGACATACTTTGTACAAAAATGAATAAGACATTCTTTTACCACACTTAAATGGTTTTTGCAGATTAATAAATACAAATTGCCAGTTATAAAATAGTCACAGGGTGCTCACTTTGGCAGTGCATACACTAAAGAGAGCCACAGGGATGTAAAGTATGGCACAGAATATAGTCAATAATATTGTAATAACTATTTATGGTGCCAGATGGGTAGTAGACTTATCAGAGTGATCACTTTGTAAAGTATATAAATGTCTCATCACTATGGTGTACATCTGAAACTAATATAATATTGTATGTCAACTGTAATTGAAAAATAATTTTTAATTAAAAAATTTTAATTTTAAAGGATTTTTGCAGTCAAATAGAGGCAATTAGAGACAATTACATTATAATATAATACAAATTAAATAATTTACACTTTTAATAACATACAAATGCCAAAACAGTCTTATAGGAGAATAAGAAAAGATTTCACATAAGGTAATATGTGAACTAGTACTTGAAGATTAAAAAGAAACTTGTCAGACAGAGTGGAAAGGCAAAGCCGGACTTGAAAACACAAAGCATGTTTAAGGTATTAAGAGAAGTTAGTTGGAGTGTGGGCACACAGCAGTATGATGGAAGATGAAAGAAGATAAAACTGGAATGGGAGATCAGGTGAAATTTGGAAGAGTCCTGTACATCATGGTAAGAAATATCAATTTTATTTTCTAAGGGAACTTGAAAGGAATCTACCTGTCACCGCATTTGAACTAGAAGCTTTATATGCATCACCTCACTGAATCCTCAAATGATACTATGAGGTATAGCATTCCTAGCAAATAGATAAAGAAAATGAAGTTCAAAAAGTACATTAACTTGGCCCAAGTCACACAGATAAGTGACAGGCCCAGGACTGATATTTCTGACTCCAATTTTGAGTTCTTTCTGTTATAACACAAATACGGAGACATTAAAATTGTTAAGCATTTAAAATTTGGGGCTTTTTTATTTTTGTGTTTTGTCTTATTTTCTTTCAAGGAAGATAAATACAGAAACAACACAGCACAGTAGGTAACATCTCATCTGGAGTCAGAACACAGGCATTTAAATCCCTGCTTGCTAGCTATGACACTTTGAACAAGTTACTTTACTTAACTTTCTAAGCCTTGATTTTCTCATTTGGAATATGGGGATAATAAAAGTACCTACCTCATAGGGTTGTTGTGAGGATTAAATGAGATAATCCATGAAAAAGTGCTGTGCACAAGGACTGGCACCTTGTAAGCACCCAATTAATGTTTCCTTAAGAAGAAAAACAAAGATGGATTGGAGGGGGCAAGCCTGACAGAGACCAGTTAGAAAATTATAGCAATCTACAAAAGCTAGAAGCCCTAAACATAGGAAAAAAAGATGGGGGGAAAAAAGCAAATACAAGACATATTTCAATGAAAAAAATATATACATGATAGAAAAACCACCAAAGAAAAGGTCGACAAAAAAAATTAATGAGTATAAATTGAAAAACAGTATTAAGTTAACACAAGTAAGATTAAGATATAGAGCACACAAAAGTCCTTACAAAGATTGTTGGAAAAAACTTAAAACGTTACAAAACAACAAAAACAAGAATAATTCACATAAGAACACAAGAATTAGTGAACACTTATATACCAAAAAAAGTTCAACATCCCTCTTAAAAAAATGCAAATTAATAAAAGGCTTAATTTTATTCCTATTAAAATCTTAAAATAATATTACACAAGGCTGAAAAGGTTGCGGTGAAACCACTGTATTTATACAGTGCTGATAGTATTACAAATTGGCACACCTTCTTTCTTGGTAGGCAAGTTAGCACTTTTTCCAAGACCTGAAACTGTCCTTACCCATGACATAAAAAATAAAACTGTGGAAGTGAAAAATTGAAAAGTAAAAGGCTATTTGTACCAAAATGTTCTCTAAAATATTATTCATGAAAAACTTAGATATAATTAATAACTTAAGAGTACATCTCAGTGGAATATTAGAAAGCTATTAAAAATAAATATAAAGATTACAACAACACTGAAAATATGCTTAAGTTTATAAAGCAGAATACACAATTTCAATGCTACTATTCATACTACTCAAAACATCAGTATTTATGAACTAGATGTAGCAAAGATGCTAGAAAAAAGAAGCATATTTTTTGTTAAGATTGAGGGTATTATATTTATGTTATAACTCCCTCACTGCTATGTTAGTATATGTGCAACAAGTAAATTTTAAAGATATCAAAATTAGAAAATAAATATCAAAGTCACACATAAAATTCTACACACCATCATTTCTGAGCACCATGTGGACTGCTAAAAACTGGTTTTCTGCATACATATGAAACAGGATAGCTTAGATATGTTCACATCGCAAACCATTTAATGAATAAAAAATGGAAGTTTATCATGTATTACCGAAATTTCCCAAATCTAGAATAATTTTATCTTCTACTAATCATGGCCAATATCAATACTAAGCATCAACAGTTAATTTATTCATCTAGTCAACTTTGATCATTTCCCCTCTGCAAACATATTTATTAGAAGTCATTAATAATTTACTATATTGAAGACTATCAACACACACACACACACACACACACCACTTAATCCTTAGCAAATAAGTAATATGAAGTACATACTATTTTCTCACTAACCTATAAGAAAACTGAGACCCATAGAGGTTAAGCGGCAGAGCTAGAAATTCAAACCAGGTTTCTAGCCTCAACTCTTACCAGCCCTCATTCCCACAATTATAATTACCTTTTCACTCAATATATATTTACTGAGGTCCTGCTATGAGTCATTTGCTATTTTAGGAGTTGGGGACACAGCAGTTAAAACAGTTTTTAAAATGTCTTTACGCAGCTTACATTCTAGGACAGCAGTTCTCAACTAGGAATGATTTTGACACCCAGGGAACATACGACAATACGTGGAGGCATTTTTAATTGTCACAACTGGGATTGGTGGGGAGGTGCAACTGGCATCTAGTGGGTACAAGCCAGGGATGCTGCTGAATATCCTACAATGCACAGTACTGCCACTCATAGTGCCAACCTATTCTAAAAGGAAGGTAAAAAATAAATAAAACATAGGGTATGATATCTATAGATGCATCATACATCAAGAACTGTACATTTCTTGAAAGGAGAAACTATGCTTTATTCTTCTTCATATCCCTCATACCAAACATAGAACCTTTCCCACAGCAGATGCTCAATAAGTGATGAACAAAATAGAAATAAAGCAGTCATTTTTCTATATTACTACTGGTCAAAGCATAATACAAGAAACCTTATAAGATGCAAAGGGTTCAGACTAAACTTTTTCTCACCTTTGAAATCACATTCAGAAAGCATCAAATATACTACATCGGGATCCAGATCAGAAAACATCTCTGAGATACTGGTGAAGAGTTCTTCCTGATCAACTTTTCTCTCACATATGGAAGGAAGAGTAGTAGTTGGTTCCTCATGACTAGCAACACTGGATACAACAACTTCCTTAGAGTTTGCAGTCTTCCGAAAAGGATTTCCCCCAAGATTTTTCCTTCTCCTTGGCATCCTGACTTCCAAAACTAAAATGTTTTCCTTTTCTTATTCAAGATGTTTAATTTTTAAGTCATACCTCAAAGAAAACAGGGTTAAATATCTTGCACAATCCAGCAGTAATAGGACCTAAAATAGAAAGCAAGTAGAAACACTCAGACTATACAGTTATATTTCCATTTCTAAAATCGGAATATTTTTATAACTCTAAGGAAGTACCATCAACTCTGGCAGCAAAGCCAAAAAACAGTCAAATAATTTCTCCCTCTCCAAAATATTAAAATTTTGCCAAGACAGAACATGTTAAAAATTAAGATATTAACAAATGTAACATTTTCAGAACAGTGAGTACACTGTTTTAGTACCATTATTTCAAGAAAAACCATAAAACAGTACTGAACACCCATACTTGGATGTCTAATATGTATCACAAACTTAACATGTCCAAAACTGTGCTCCAAATCATCTTCAAACCTGCTCTTTCCAGTTTTTCCCACCTCAATTAATGCAACTATATCCTTCCCACTGCTCAAGGCAAAATTCTTGGACTAATTCTTGACTCCTATCACTCCACATTCAATCAATAAACCAACTTTGCCAGTACAACCCTTAAACTGTATCCAGAATATGATCATCCCTCATTATCTCCAGTGCTACCACAGCCTCTTACTGGGATTATTGTAATAGTCTCCTATCGAATCTTCCTGTTTCCACCCTTGCCCCTTCAGCCTATTTAGCACAGCAATCAGAGTGGCTTAAACTTGTAGGTCGGATCATACCTCTCTCTGCTAAACTATCCACTAGCTTCCCACTTCATTCAGGATAAAAACCAAAGTCCTTAAAATGGCCTATAACCCAGACATTGGTTACTTCACCGCTGTCATCCCTAATCCTCTTTTCATTACGCACATTGCTCCAGCCACACTTTGCCTCCTTGCTCTTCTTCAAATACACCAGCCATGCTCCCACCTGGGAACCTTTACATCTTGGTTCCCTCTACCTGAACTACTATTCTCCCAGGTATTATTTCCTCACCACATTTCTACCACTGCTCCAATGTTACCTTCTCAAGAAGTTAGTCCCCCAATACCACTTATCCATCTTCCTGTACTTGAATTTTCTCCATGAAACTTATCATCTTCTAACATAGTATATGTTTTATGTACTTGTTTTACTTATATATTGTGTTTATTACCCATATTCCAGTAAAGTGTAAGCCCGACAAGGGCAGGTGCTCATCTATTTGCTTTCTCTGCTTGTCTAATAAACATTTCAAACTTAACATATCCAAAACTGAATGTCTGATATTTCCCCTAAAATCTGCTCTAACCATTTGGTTGGCTATCATCACCTGTATTCTTGTCTCCTAAATGGTCTTCCTGCTTCTAACCCTTGACCCTTACAGTTTATTTTCAACAAACTGGCCAGAATGATTTTCATAGAACATAGGTCAGAATGAATCAGGGTCTTTTCTAAAACCTCAAGTGGTTCTCTATTTCACTCAGAGTAAAAATTAACATTCTTACAATGGCCCACCTTTCTGCTAGCCTTTGATGTACTCTTCCTCAAGGTATTTGCATGGCTCTCTCCTTCGAATCTTTGTTCAAGTATCACATTCAATGATTTCTTCCTTGATTAACCAATTTAAAGTCACATCTCCCACTCCCTCTGCCCCACTCTCTCTTTCCTACTAACTACCCATTGCCCTTAGTACTTTCTAACGTACAATAAAATTTACCCTTTAGTTAAATTTATTGTGCCATAGCTCTCTCCATCCTCCAGAACTAGTTATTATGGCAGCCACATGTGCCTATTTAAATTTAAATTTAAAATTACATTTTTATATGTTAACACCAGACAAAGTAGAATTTAGAGCAAAGAAAATTACCGGAGAAGCACATTATATAATCATAAAAGATCAGTCCACCAAGAAGACATAGCAACCCTAAATGTGCACGCACCAAACAGAGCCACTAAATGAGTGAAGTAAAAACCGATAGACTTGGAAGGAAATATAGACAAATCCACAATTACAGTTAGAGACTTCAATACCCCTCTCTCAACAATTTACAAAATAACTAGACAGAAGATCAGCAAGGATACAGAACTCTGTAACACCATCAATTAAAGATCTAATCAACATTTATGGGACATTCTATCCAATAACAGCAATATATATATGTTCTTTTCAAGTATCCACAGATGATATAACTAGATAGTCCATATACTAGGCTATAAAACAAACCTCAACAAATTTAAAAGAACAGAAATCATACAAAGTATGTTCTCTGACCATAATGGAATCAAACTAGAAATCAATAACAGAAAGATAACAGGAAAATCTCCAAACACTTGAAACCTAAGTAGTATACTAAATAATCCACGGTTCAAACATGAAGTCCTAAGGAAGATCAAAAAATACACTGAAATAAATGAAAATGAAAATACACCATATCCAAATTTGTAGGATATGCAGCAATGACAGAAATTTATAGCACTAAATGCATCCATTATTAAAGAGGAAAAGTCTCAAATCAATAAACTAAGCCCCCTGCCACAAGAACCTAGAAAAAGACTAAAATAAACCCAAATACAGTAGAAGGGAATAATAAAAATAAGAGCAAAAATAAATGAATATTAAAACAGAAAAATAGAAAGATCAATGAAATAAACTGATGGTTCTTTGAAAAGATCAATAAAACTGACAAACCTCTAGGCAAAACTGACAGAAAAAAAAGACAACACAAATTACCAATATCAGGAATGAAACAAGGAATATTACTTCATACCCTGCAGGCATCTAAAGACTGATAAGGGAATTTTATGAACAATTGTACACATGCATGTTTGACAACTTAAATGGACTGATATCTCAAAAACCACAAACTACCACACCTCATACAATAGATAAGTGCCTTATGATTTTTAATGAAATTTACTTCACAATTTTAAAACTCCCAAAATAGAAATTCCAGACCCAAACGGTTTCAATGGAGAATTCTACCAAACATTTTTAAGGAAAATTAACACCAACTCTATATAATCTCATCCAAAAATAGAAGCAAAGAAAACATTTTCCAATTAATTTTACGAAGCTAATATTAGTATCCTGATACCAAAACAAAGCCAGAATGAACCTATAAATCAATATCTTTTACGTATACAGATGTAAAAATCCTTAACAAAATATTATAAAATAGAATTCGGCAATACATTAAAAAAAGTTTTCCAGGGATTTATTAAGGTTTATTCCAGGGATGCAAGGCTGGTTCACTATTTTAAAACATCAATGTAATCCACCATATGAATAGGTTAAAGAAGAAAAATCACAATCATATCATTAAAGGAAGAAAAAATCATCTGACAAAATTCAACACACACTCATGACAGAAACTACCAGAAAAATAGGAATAGAGAACTTCCTCAATGATTATGAGCATCTACAAAAACCCTACAGCTAACATTATACTTAATGGAGAAATACTAAATGCTTTTGTCTTAAGACTGAAAATAAAGCAAGGATGTCCACCCTCACCACTCTTATTCAACGTAATGCTAGAGGAATTCTAACCTATGAAGGCAAGAAAAGGAAATAAAAGGCATACAGATCAGAATGGAAGAAATAAAACTGTCCCTACTTGCAGATGAACCCAACAAATAAATGAGTTCAGCAAAGTGCAGAATATAGGCATACCTCTGAGAAATTGCAGAGTCGTTTCCAGACATTGCAATAAAGTGAATATCACAATAAAGCAAGTCACACAAATTTTTTGGTTTCCCAGTGTATTTACAAGTTATATACCACAGTCTGTTAAATGTGCAATAGCATGTCTAAAAAAATGTACATACCTTAATTTAAAAATACTTTATTGCTAAAAAATGCTAAACATCATCTGAACCTTCAGAGAGTCATAACCTTTTTGCTGGTGGAGGGTCTTGCCTCAATTTGACAGCTGCTGACTGATCGAAGTGGTGGTTGCTGAAAGCTGAGGTGGCTGTGGCAATTTCTTAAGACAACAATGAAGTCTGCTGCATCAATTGACTCTTCTTTTCACAAATGATTTCTCTATGGCATGTGATGCTATCTGATAAAATTTTACCCACAGTAAAACTTCTTTCAAAATTAAGAGTCCATCTTCCCAAACCCTACTGCAGCTTTATCACCTAAGTTTATGTAATATTCTAAATCCTTTGTTGTTATTTCAACAATTTCCACAGCATCTTCACAAAGAATAGTTTCCATCTCAACAAACAACTTTCTTTGCTTATCCATATGAAACAACTTCTCATCTATTAAAGTTTTATGATGAGATTGTAGTAATTCAGTCACATCTTCAGGCTCCACTTGTAATTCTAGTTCTCTTGCCATATCCACATCTGCAGTTACTTCTTCCACTGAAGCCTTAAACCCCTCAAAGTTTTACCCATGAGGGTAAAATCAACTTCTCCTAAATTCCTGTTACTATTAATGTTTTGACATCTTCTCATAAATCACAACTGTTTCTAATGGCATCTAAGAATGGTGAATCTTTTCCAAAAGGTTTTCAATTCACTTTGACCAGATCCATCCGAAGACTCTATCTATGGCAGCTATACCCTTACAAAATGTATTTCTTAAACAATAATTCTTAAAAGTAAAATTACTTCTTGATTCCTAGGCTGCAGAGTGGATGTTGTGTTAGCAGTCATGAAAACTTTAATCTTGTTGTACATCGCCATCAGAGTTCCCAGGTGACCAGGTGCATTGTCAATAAGCAGTGATATTTTGAATCTTTTTTTCTGAGCAACAGGTCTTGATAGTGGGCTTAAAATATTCAGAAACCCATGTTGTAAACAGATGTGCTGTCATCAGGCTTTGTTGTTCCATTTATAAAGCACAGGCAGAGTAGATTCAGCATCATTCTTAAGGGCCTTAGGATTTTCAGAATGGTAAATGAGCACTGGATTCAACTTAAAGCCACCAGTTGCATTAGTCCCTAAAAACAGAGTCAGCCTGTCCTTTAAGAGCTTTGAAGCCAAGCACTGACTTCTTTCTAGTTAGTAGGAAATGGAGAATGGAGCAGAAGGAGTGGGGGATATGATTTTAAATTGTTTAATCAAGGAAGAAATCACTGAAAAGTCCTAGATGA